TTTGCATTGACTCCTCCTCACAGACGCTTCACTTCATGTTGTGTGAAAACGTAAAAATGAATCAATAGAAGATCAGTTTGTGTCTCACATATTTAAAGTTACTTCATCTAAAATGCTTTCTATTAAGATACCTGCCGTATAACGTTCAGAAAAGCAGAAATTCCACTGAAGGTTTCTTCTCTTTCTGTTCATTTATCAGTGATATGAATCAAAAGCTGTGAGCAGCATCTTTGCTTTATGTTAGGAAATACTGAACCGATGGAACAGACATTTATGGGAGTTTGTGTCAGCACAGTTCAGACATGATCGACTTATTAAAGTTCAGTTTTGTAGCACAGAACATAATAAATTTAATCACTGTTTTATATTCTGGACTGGCATCTTATTAGAGAATTATTCAGCTGATAGGGGAACTATTCATGATTTAACAACGCCGTTTATTTTACACTTCAAAATCATAATAACTGGTAACATTCCTTCAAAGTAGCAAAAGCATTGAATTAATGTAATAATTAATATAATAAATGACATCATGTGAATGAACTGTGACATTATTGCAAAACAGATTTATCAAAAACTAAAATACATAAATAGGTAACTGCATTTTTCCCCCCACTTTTAAACCTCATTGTCATTGTTACATGGCAGACAGACACGAATGATTTTAATTACTGACAGATGTTTGTCTTTCTGTAACAATACAAACACGGAGGACAGACTAGATGTTCATATATACATATAATAGTATGTTTCTAAAACTTTGAACACATTTTTATTTAACTGGTTAGAAAACTCAGATGTTGTTATGACGACTCTGTGCACTTGTTGTCTGTGGAGGTTTTTGTGCAGCTGCTTCACTGTCTTCAGTCACTGTGTCTCTTCGAGCACAGAAGTAAACAGCAGAATCTTCAGCTGTCAGACTCTTGATCTGCAGGTACTGAGTGCTGCTGGACACATCTTCAGTCATGAGGAAACGTCCTTGAAAAGAATTCCCGTAGATCGCAGCGTTGTTGCCTGTATCCATCCTTCCAATCCACTCCAGAGCTTCCCCTGGTCTCTGTCGTATCCAGTGGATATTGTAGCTGGTCATGCGATAACCAGATGTGATACATGACATCTTCACTGTCTCTCCAGGTCTTTTCAGCTCAGATGGAGACTGGTCCAGTCTGATCTCACTCCAGACTCCTGTCAGCAAAGAAACCATGATTATCATCAATCAAACTGGTACATCACTTTATGGATATTTTACAAATAAAAAACAGCAACAATAAAAACGTGGAATTGATGTTCTCACCATGAATAGAAATTACAAACAATAAACTCCAGACTATTGCATTTTCCATTCTGATATAAAAACTAGTATTCTCAGGTTGGTGTTTCAAGTAGTTAATAAACGGTCTCAGTTTTCTGTCTAAAAGTGTAGGAAAGTTGCCGATGGTATGTTTATAAGAGAGGCAGAGTTTGCATAGACGTCCCTCTGGAGGTTTAAAAGGAGTCCATAAGTAGATCATCTCTAGACAGCAGTGGACAATGAAGAAGCATTTCAAAGAACCAGTTTATGGAACGATGAATGATTGGTGCTCCTACGCTTTTTAGCTAATTATTATTATTATTAT